ATATATATATATATATATATATATATATAAAGCAGAAAGATCATCTTTCGTCATCGTCTATCGTTAATTAAGGCATGTTGTCATTTTGCTCTGATTGGGATTTCCTTGTTTCCATTTACTTTTATTTAATTTCACTTCATGGAGTTTGAAGGGAAAATAATACTATGCTGGGATGTCGTTGTTGGGATGTCAAATTACCTATGTCGGATGAATTTTTTTTTTGTTCCAATTGCAGACTCTAATGTGCCTAAATATATTATATATTTATATATATTTACAGCACATGCTTTTGTTCTTATTTTCTCCTTTCTACTATAGGGGTACCTCTGATGACGAAATGTGCAATTTCTATATCATGTACTACATGGACAGCAAACATGCCATCCCTTATATGAACTGCATGAAACAAGGCTCTGCCAAATTGTTTCAGCACATTCCACCTGAAGCCAATATTCCCATTCCTGTCAGTCCCGAAAACATGAACGCCATGATGCATATGGCACATTCAACAGGTAAACTGTACATTTTTGCAGCGATTGTAATATGTGAATATGAGGTCAAATGTGATTACAGTGTATCTGGAAAGTATTCACAGAACTTCACTTTTTCCACATTTTAAATTCGAGAAGGACAGCAGTTTCTGCAGTAGTCCACGAAATTGTGTGGCCAGACAGGATCGAGTCAATTTATTAAAAATAGTCTATGGCAGTCCTGCTGGAGTTTGCGATCCTTGAAGGACCTCCAGACCACATGTGACCAAATTTTCTGCTCTGATGGGACAAATATTGAACTCTCTTGGTTGTGAACCCCAGACGTTTTTGTGGTTTGGAGGAAATCAAGCACCGCTGATCACCTGACTAAATACCTCCTTCGCGTAAAGCTCAGTGGTGGCTGCACAATGTTTTTCAGGGGCAGCATTTGAGAGTCAGATAAATGTAGCCTTGTACAGAGAAATCCCTGAGAAAACCCTGCTCAAGAGTGCTCTTGACCTCAGACGGGGGCAACGGTGAATATTCTCATAAAGACAGTGCCTAAAAACACAAAGTTGTCAGAGAAGTGTCCTTCAGGAACACTCCGTAAATGTCTGTGGCTCCCCACACAGCCAGAGCTCCAACCTGATAGAACTCAAGCAGTGTCTCAAAGAGTAATGGGTGAAACTGCCGAAAGGGAAGTGTCCCAAGCTGAATGTGGCAGCGTATTCAAAAAAAGACTCAACAAAGCAGTGAGCAAAGAATGTGCATACTTACTGTATGTACTGTTCATGTGATTTCTTGTTTTATTTATGAATAGATTTGCAAAAAACAAAACATGTTTTCATGTTTGTCTTGAGAGGGAAGAAATTTCATCTGTGCTGTACGTATGTTACGTACAGCACATTTGACAATAAAGTTGTATTCAATTCAATTCAATATATCAATTCAATAATATCTTGAGGTGTTGAATGTAGAATTTTGAAGCAAAAGAAAATAAATCTTCCATTTTGGAAGAAGGCTATAACAACAAAATATGGGAAAAGCACTGTGAATACTTTTCCCGAGGTACTGTATCGTCGATCTACTGGGTAGATAGTATCTACCCAGTAGATATTATGTACCCATATTGTCCATACAGTTCTTGAAAATAATCAATAAGCTTAGTGACCTTATCATTCTCACCAACTTTCCTCAAAGGTCACCAAGATGCAGTATCTCTGCCAGGTACAGCCAGTGAAGAGCAGCCTTTCATTCAGGGTAAGCAAATAACTAAACAAGGTGGCAAATAGGCAAATAGACAGCAAGAGCTCTGTGGAAAAATATGAGTCATATATGTATTTGTTTTTAAATACTGCATCACAAGCAACTACTGTTTTGTTTGTTATCTATTTAACATTAAGAGGACATCAATACAATGTCTTCTTCATACCAATACAATAAATAAATTGAAAAGGAGTTTGCCAAACTTAAATATGTCTTGCTTTGTAATGTTGATCCAATTGGGAGTGGTCTACAATGTTGTCCATTCATCTTTGTCATTTCTGCTTGCAAACAGCCTGGGGACAAGAGAATGACACATTGTGTTTTTGAAAAAATCCTCAATACAGATGACAATGTTCTCAAAAGAATAACCTTATAGACAGAACTGCAAAAAAAAAAAAAAAAAAAATCCTAGAAAGCAGCTTCGAAACACTCTACTCTCTCTATTTGGGTTGAGTGTTTATGTTAATGGAGTAGTCTGGCCACACTGGACATAAATGTCCACTTTGCTGGAGGTGTTTTGTCATTAGTGGCACATTAATTTGTTCCACTCGCATGTGGCCTGCATCTTAGAAACTTTTTTTCCCTTCAATGTTTATGTGGGAACAATAATGCATATAGAATTGAGAGGTGGTGGGGGAGTCCAATTTGAGACCCAGCTGACTAACAACCTCGATCTCTATGCCTAGCTAAGCAAGCCTCTACTTAAAAGCTTCCACTTTTCTTGTCCTTTTATATTTCTTTCCTTTCCTTTCCTGTTTGTGCAGGTGATCTCTATTCTCTAATGTCCAAGCTGCTAGGTCAAAACCATGATGTAGTAGACAGTCATAAGTACAACCCCAGTAAGATACACAGGGTCCAGCCTGAGCTGGTGGCTCAGATTCATAGCTTAATACAAAAGAAAAACTTGGGCTCTCCTGCTGCTTCGCTGGCCCTCCAGACCAACAGGCACCCTGTTTTGATGAGGGACAGAGTCCATAAATTCCATCAGCTTGAGGCCATGCCCAAGCTGACAAAAAGCAAGTTGCTGTTTCAAAGACAAGGTGGGTGTACGGGGCAAGGGAGTTATTTCTTCAGGCATACCTTTTGTATGATTCAGAACAAATCATTGCCCTTTTCGTCATATGTGTTCTTTTAAACTGACCATTTCCGTAACTCATTCTCATCATAACATCTGGATTGTACTACACATCATCATTCTTGTCTCTTCTATCGGTGATGTTCCTCACTGCTGTTCATTCTTTCTCATTTCCAGTGCTACTTCCTTCCAATTTGTTCTTTCGTTTGCCTGTATCAAAAACTAAGATGTTATGATAAAGTCAGTTTTTTTTTCCTTCTGTTCTGGTGGGATTTTAAAAGTGCTTTTTTTGTGAAATGATTTTTATTGTTATCCTTACCGGTATTATTATTTGTTGTTGTAGTAGAAGTAGTGGTAGTGGTAGTAGTAGTAGTAGCAGTAGCAGTAGCAGTAGTAGTAGTAGTCAGGCGGCCCGGTGGTCGAGTTAGCACAGGGGTGTCAAACTCATTTTTTGTCGCGAGCCACTAAGGAGTTATTGCTTCCCTCGGAGGGCCGGTGCAAAATCTAAACGTTATTACCCATGACAATTTGACATTTCTGTACAGAGTTCAGCAAGAATCATGATTGTTGACACACATGCTTTCCTCCCGCGGGCCACATAAAATGACGTGGGGGGCCGGCTCTGGCCCCTGGGCCTTGACTTTGACACCTGTGGGTTAGCACGCCAACCTCATAGTGCAGAGGTTGTGGGTTCGATCCCGGCCTTCCTGTGTGGAGTTTGCATGTTCTCCCTGTGCCTCCGTGGGTTTTCTCAGGGTACCCGGATGGGTGTTTGTGTATGTGTGCCCTGTGATTGGCTGGCATCCGGTTCAGGGTGTCCCTGGCCTACTGCTCGGAGACAGCTGGGATAGGCTCCAGTACCCCCAGCGACTCTTGTGAGGATAAAGCGGATCAGAAAATGGATGGATGAATGGATAGTAGTCGTCATCTGCTTTTGAAATTGCTTGATCTTATTGGGCTGATGGGTAACCCTAGACTTGTCATCAGTCAATTACAAGGGACATGACGCCAAAAAAATATTCTCATTCAGGACATCTGTGGACAACTTCACATCTTTAATAACAAAATAATTTAGGAGCATGTTTTAGGGGTACCGTGAGAAATCCCACTATTTATTATTATTATTATTACAAGGTTTGTATTTGGACAATATTTAAAAGTATTACTTTCTTAAGGGTTTTTTTTTTTTCCCACATCGCCGCCGTCAACCTGACATCTGTGATTTTCTTCCGTCAATTAATGGTAACTCTCTGTTCAGATACCCATCTGGAGCAAGACCCAACATGGCCACAGAATTCTCTCCAGCTGGGTCAGGTGTCAGGACTTGCCATTGACTCAGACTCCAACCTGGTCATTTTCCACAGAGGTGACCATCAGTGGGGACCAGAGTAAGTTTCTACAAATTTATTTTTAAAAAATTGCTGCATTCATATTTTGCAAATTACTAAGGATGCCAAAACTGAAAATGAGGCTATTAAAGCCGAAAACAGAAACCCTAGAATAATAATTATGTGGCTGACACATATGCACTGTTGCTGCCCACAGCAGTGTGGCGCACCACTAGATTAGATCTGTTTTTCTCCCCTTTTCTCGTCTAATCGTACCCACGAGCCCCAAGGCAATGCCCCGCCTTGTCCCAGACATCATGGCGGGCCAACGATTGGCCACGAAAGAGACTACGTTTCGCACCGATTAGCTCACCCGGATGCTAGTGTGCTTACTTGCGTCTTCACAACACCCTGTTTCAGGGTATGAAAATGTTTAGGGTGACTGCAGACCTAAACAAGTTATGAAACTATGAAGCCTTTTTAAATGGAAAAGTTACTAGCCCCATTTTGAAAGTCTCTATACTCTGTGGATCCATCACAGACTCAGGGAGTGCTTGGAAGGACTTGTCTTGTATGCAGAGTTTGTAATAGGTTCAGTAGTGGATCGGTAACCAATTGAGGGTCTGGAGATTAGGTCTGTACTTTGATCAAATTTATGACTCCCATTCAGGATCCCAGCTGCGCGGTTTTGTACGTGGGTGGTAGAGTTTTCCACAAGCTCCTACGAGGAGCAAGTATAGTTGCAGTGGACCAGCCGAGAGGAAATGAAGGTGTGGAGCCATTTCTCAGCATCTGAGAGAGATGGCATAGCGGACTTTAGCAATATTCTTGAGATGTAGGAATGAAAATTTGGTCTGGTGGCAGATGGGGGTGTCAAAGAAAAGATGAATCGACAAACTTGACACCTAGGCTTTATATGAGAGAAAGAAGGACACTCAAAATATAATTCTGCTTTGCTAGTCAATGGTGTATTTTTATGACCCCCTATTCACTTGACATATGATTAAACGATAGAATTTTACTGGCCAAATTATGTCAGAGCTTTGAATATATCTGAAACTGTTATTGTCTTTGTGAAGAATCCATGAAACTGATGCTTTTTTTCTTATCCCACATATTTTCAGTTCTTTTGACACCCAGGCTTTGTATCAGCAGAGGTTCCTTGGCCCTATTCAACAGTCCACTATTTTGGTTGTTAATGTGGACAATGGCAATGTCCTCAAGGCTTCTGGAAGAAATATGTAAGTCATACTGTGAGCTAAAGCAATATTTAGGAAAGCCCCATATCTCACTGAGCAGAGAGGGTTTTAAATTGTTTGCGCATGTAGCGAATATTTGCATCAGGGATCGTTCAAGGTACGGCAAAAGGCTGCAACGACTTTCGCCAGACATTTGCAAAGACTATAATGGTCACAAACAATTATAGAAAATTATCTAATTGTGATTATTTTTTTAACCCCTGGGATGTAAGCAAGAGTATATACTATACTGTAAGGGTGACTTCAATAACGAATAAGCACCAACAGACATTATTATTAGGCAGCGCCTCATCATTAAACATATTTTCAAAAGTGTTTTGGTTAGACACATACGGCCGAATTCATCCTCTTAATATTTCACCGCATGACAACTTTGCACAGATGTGTTTTAATTTGTCATTGCTGAAGTTGCCACACACTTGACTATCGTCTGAGTATGTGTGCTCAAACTTCCTCACTTCCTCAAGCTATCAGACACTTCCTCACGTGCGCTGCGACATACGATGACAGCCAAAACGTTACAAAATACTCAACACATTTTTTTTCCCCACACACAGAAAGTTTTGTTCACCATGCAAGATGAAAATAATCGAGCATGTAAGAAAGCTGTAAGCTAGCACGGCAACATTAGCTTAGCGTTCTATGAACCCACTGCGTCCCGCTGACAGAAAATCACTGACCATTTAGACCGCAGCCCTTGCGATTACAAGATCGCACTTTGTCAAATTGTGATCATATTGCAAATGCAATTAATCGTTAGCCCTATCATCAACAGTTTGTCATGTCGCCATTAAATGTTGAACATGTTCAAAATTCCAATCCTGCAGATTTTACTTACCTCATGGAATAACCATGGACAAAGACAATAACTACTGGGTAACTGATGTGGCTCTTCATCAGGTAAGAGCAATTTAAGCTTTTAGCAAAACTTTTTTATTAATCAGCTCATTCTCATTTTAGATATGATGCGCTTTATCAACTTTTATGCTTGTCAATGAAAAATGTATTGTTTTCTGCAAGATCTTTGAGTTATGTGATGTACTGTGTTTTATGTACCGGTAATTTTTTTTCTTTTTGGACAGCTAGTTTTCAGCAAAAAAAAAAAAAAAAAGGAAAGTTTGAAGAAACTCAATAAAATGCCTTTCATTTTTTTACACTCAGGTTTTAAAAGTGAGTAGTGATGGTGGTGACAGAACCTTGTTGTCTCTGGGAGAGGCTTTCAAACCAGGAAGTGACCATAACCATTTTTGTCAACCCACCGATGTGGCAGTCGATTATGAAACTGGGAACATTTTTGTGTCTGATGGCTACTGTAATGCAAGGATACTCAAATTCTCTGCTGATGGAAGATATCTTTCGGAGTGGGGAGCTGGTAAGAACATGAGCGTCACAGTATCAAACTTAGCAAAATAGTAAAAGGCTATTTCAAGTATCTTGAAAGTTAACTGATGTTCTATCCAGATCATTCTGGACTCAAGTTAGAAGAAAGTATAATATAGATACCTTATTCTGTATAAGCTCCACCAATAGTGACCTGATGTATATGTCACTTTCATTTATCTAGATTTGGTTTACAAAAGAAGATATGCCAAGGCGCTTTACATCAGGAGCGGGTCTGAAAGCTCGCCCCAATGAACATTAAACAAAACCAAATAAACCCCAAATGAGCAAGCACTATTGCAACAGAGGCAAGAAAAACTCCCTCCAAGAATGAAACCTGTTGTTATGCGGCAATCTTTGGTATTGAGGGTGGTGATAAATATGCCACTGTAATACAAACCCAATTCCAATGAAGTTGGGACACTGTGTTTAACATAAGTAAAAACAGAATACAAAGACTTGCAAGTCATGTTCAACATATATTTAACTGATTGCACTACAAAGACAAGATATCTTATGTTCAGACGGGAAACTATTTTGTGTTTTTGCAAATAAAGAATTTTATGGCTATTTCACATTCAAGATATCTTATGTTCAGACGGGAAACTATTTGTTTGTTTTTTTTTTGCAAATAAAGAATTTTATGGCTATTTCACATTCCCAAAAAGCTGGGACAGGTGACAAAAAGACTGAGAAAGTTGAGCAATGCTCATCAAACACCTCTTTGGAATATCCCACAGGTGAACAGGCTATTGGGTATAAAAGGAGCTTCCCCGAATTGTCTGTCATTCACAAATTCACAAAGATGGGGCGGGGTTCACCTCTCCGTGAACAACTGTGTGGGCAAATCATCGAACAGTTTAAAGACAATGTTCCTCAACGTATAATTGCAAGGAATTTAGGGATTTTGTCATCTACGGTGCATAATATCATCAAAAGGCTCAGAGAATCTGTAGACATCACTGCATGTAAGTGGCAAGGCCAAAAACCAACAGTGAATGTCCGTGACTTTCGGTCCCTCTGGCGGCACTGCATCAAAAACCAAGATCAATATGTAAAGGATATCACCACATGGGCTCAGGACCACCTCAGAAAACCAATGTCAGTAGATACTGTTCGCCGCTACATTCCATATATGCAACTTAAAACGCTACTATGCAAAGCAAAAGCGATTTATCAAAAACACCCAGCAATGTCGCCAGCATCTTTGGGCCTGTGCTCATCAAAGATGGACTGATGTAAAGTGAAAAAGTGTTCTGTGGTCTGACAAGTCCAAGTTTCACATTGTTTTTGGCAATGGTGGACGTTGTGTCCCATGAGCCAAAGAAGAAAATAACCATCGGGACTGTGGTTGAAGCAAAGTTCAAAAGCCAACATCTGTGACGGTATGGGGCTGTGTTCGTGCCAATGCCAGGAGTAACTTGCACACCTGTAAAGGTGCTGTTAATGAGGAAAGGTACATACAAGTTTTGGAGAAGCATATGCTGCCATCCAAACGTCTTTCATAGATAACCCTGCTTATTTAAGCAAGATCATGCCAAAACAAATTTAGCAGGTGTTACACTAGCGTGGTTTTGTAGTATAAGAGTGCAGCAACTAGGCTGGCCTGCCTGCAGTCCAGTCCTGTCTCCCATTGAAAATCTGAGGCGCATTATAAAGTGTAAAATATGACAACCGAGACCCCATCAAGCAAGAATGGGAAAGAATTCTAGCCACAAAGCTTCAACAATTATTGTCCTTAGTTCCCAAATGTTTATTAAATGTTGTTAAAAGAAAAGGTGATGTAACACAGTGGTAAACATGATCCTGTCCCAGCTTATTTGGAATGTGTTGTAGCCAAAATGTTCTAAATTGATTATTTGCTAAAAAACAATAAAGTTTGTCAGTTTGAACGTTAAATGTCTTGCCTTTGTAGTGTATTCAATTAAATATAGGTTGAACATGATTTGCAAATAATTGTATTCTGTTTTTATGCAACACAGCATAACAACTGCATTGGAATTGGATTTGCACTTGGCATTTGAGTAAACATTAAAACATTCATTCAAACCTCAAATACAACAGCGACTACAAAAGTGCGGCGGCCATCAGCGGAGACCGATTGGGTTGTGATTGAGAGGCAGAGGGTAGAGAGAAAGAAAAATGGCAGAGGTGTATAAACTGAGAAAACAGTTTATACACCAATAATTACATTACTTTGTCATTCTGATTAACATTAATGATGGACGTGCATTTTAACATTACTATTACTAGTCTTACTCGTAGTATTCAGTGGCGTGCAGAAGGATGAGCCGAGGGAGTGGAGCCCCTGAGTATCTCACATTAGGAAGGAGGCATCCAGATGAAGAATTTGGGTGAAGATTTTGATTTCCGATTGTAAATCGGCCATGTCACACCAAGGTGCGGTTGTTTGCTCATTTGGGGTTCATTTGGATTTCATTAACGTATAAAGGAGCGTGATTCTCGACCTGTTCCTTGTCTAAAGTACCTTGGTTGTGAATTGGAGCTAGCTCAAGGTTACTGATGTGATGATGATGATCGAAAATCCTGTCATCTAGGCTCTTCAGACCGTAGAAGGCGTACACCGTTCCGGATCCCACACAGCCTTGTATTTCTGCCAAAGAGAAATGAAGTGTGTGTGGCTGACCGGGAGAATGGACGCATCCAGTGCTTTATAGCTCAAACTGGAGAGTTTGTTAAGGAAATAAAAAAAGAAGAGTTTGGAGAAAGTGTCTATGCCATCACTTACAGTCCGTTTGGAGGTGAGTTTACGGATCTGGCCAGAGAGCTTAGCTTTCTTCAATTTGCGTTTTCCGTCCTGACTCTTCAGGACCTACCAAATGGTTGTTTTGGCCGCATCTTTTTTTTAGGGTTTGTAGGGGTCGACCAGTGATGAGGTTTGAAAAAAAATTATACTTGATCACCAATTCGATCAGAAGATGGTGCAACATGTCTATTTAACCAACTTGTATATTTACTCTACGGCCGACCACCGCCATGGTGAAAATGCATTTGAAAAAATAATAATTAAAACCCCCAAAAAGCTGCAAAAAAAAAACGCCTCTAAACACTAAGTACAACATTTCATGTTTACAGCATCTCCTCTCAACATTAATGAAAAGCAATTGCATGTAAAATTTCGGCCCTTTATATTCAAACTGTATTGACTTCATTTGTAATCATGAGATTAGCTCAACTCACAGTCGGTATGATTGCAGTATATCTTGTATCCCCGTTTAGCAAACGTTTTGTGCATCTGTCAAGATTGGAGCTATTTTTGTGTTTGTTCAAACAACATGCTTGCCTGCTTGTGGCATCTGTGATTCGCCCGAAGTTTCAGTAACTTAAACTTGGTGATCAAAGCTATTTTAAATTAAGGAGATGTTAAAATTAAATAGACAACATATATACTGGAGCTTCTTCTTGTTTTTTTTTTTTTTTTACATCCATACAAATTATGAATGTAGAAAAAAGCATTAGGCTTTTTACCCTTTGAAAATGTTAGGTTAATGCTGGTAATCAGATGCTAAGAACACATCAGGAACAGGAAGACTAAGGAGGCAGGCATGGTTGTCTTTCTTGCAAGAGAGAGCGCGCTAAAACATGTCTCGGCTCACAATCTCAGAGCAGCTCTCCAGCTGGCTCTGCAATGTAAACCGTTACAGGTTTCAGGGCAACTCTGAAGAGTGCGCGTTTGTCTCCTTGCATTTATTGGAAGGATGTTCTGATACACGATCTTCTAACGGGAGTGGGGAGTATTTTCACATTCCACAACAGTTTCAGTAAAGGAGAGTTTCAATGAGAACACACAGTTCATTTCTGAGATGTCGTCAAACGGCTCCTGCTGGATGTCGATGGTCCACGTACACAGCTTGGGATGTCCCTCACACGGTGTCCTGGGGTTGATGTTATCTTCTCACAAGCAACAGTTAGTTTGACCAGAAGCCGTTCACTTAACAACAAGATATTGTCTTCAAAGCTAGAACAGGAGCAGCCTGAGCTCTCCCGGTCCGACAAGTCTACCATTATCAACCTACCCCATTGTATATGAGGTATTTGCGAGGTATCACTCTGAAACAGGTTTTAAAGTTACACAGAGCGTAAATATGGGATAACAGAATTACATTTATTCCAACAGAAAACAAACAAAAAAAAACTTTTTTTTCCTTTCAAAATAATAACGATGATTTGACGATACTCCATCACAAATATTGTAAGTCTTGACTTCTTTCACAAAACAGTTGCAGATAGACACCGTTTATAAAAAAAAACAAAAAAACAATTCAAATTATGTCCAGCCTATATGGGGTGAGGCACGTTTTTGTTTCCTGTGGAAGATTCCCTTTTTGTTATTTGGGGCATAATGTCTATGAGTGAAGGGCACCATTTGAGGAGGGTGGTTTACTAATGAGCATTTTTCTAATATAACTCATGGGTGTTTTGGATCTCTTTGGACAAAGTACAATCTCTCTATGAAATGTATGCTTTCTTTTCAATATGCTTGTGTGCAGGTGAGGATGGCACAATCTTTGCAGTAAATGGAAAATCTATGGAGGGAAATTCCCCTCCTCCAACTGGTTTTGCAATAAATTATGCAACCAAGGACATTCTGGATACCTTCAGCCCAAAGAAATGGGTAAACATATATTTCAACTCACACAAATGTATGTACAAATTGTACATACATTACAGCGATGATTGAACTGTGACCCACTTGACTTTAAATTATGCTCTAAGCTAAGGGTGCCCAAACTTCGTCTGACCGAAGATCTACTTTTCGAACAAACAACCTCCCGCGATCAACCAGTTACCGTGCACACGCACACGCATACACATGCACGTCATGATGAAAAACAGCCTGACACGGGGGCATGCTACTTTTTTTCTGTACTTATGAAGCCTGTTAACTATCGTAGCTCATGCGTACCGTTTTAAAATGCTTCTCTCGGCCCTCCAGATTCCCATTCTTTGGCCGTGCCCTCGGCGAATTGTACATGAAACAAACTCTGAATGAGAATAATGATAACGATAAATGATATGGCGGAACAGCTCTGATCACTAGCTGCAATTGCAGACTGCTGAGCGCGAGCAACTTCCGGTGATGCAGGTCACGCGCCAACGTAGGTTAAGATCATCTGCTTTATTTTATTTAATTTTGTAAATACTTTTTGTGAAAGTGTGACTGATAGGATGATTAGGGTGCAGTGTACATAACACAAAAAATATATTACTAACATGCACAAAGACACACAAATGGTTAGTTGTTTTTTTTCTTCTCTACACTCCTCGTGATCGACTTGGGACCAGCCCGCGAGCTACCGGTCGATCACGATCGACGTAATGGGTACACCTGCTCTAAGTGGTCCCTGAACTTAGAGTTTCATGCAAATGATTTTGATTCCATATAGCTTTTCTTCTCACGATGATTATTTCAGAAAAATTCTAATTTGAAATTGGCTTATCTTTCGCCAAAATTTTTTGAAAGTCCATTTTACACATTTTGGTGCATTCAGTCTTGAACTTACCACTGTATGTAAACAGAAATGCACTTGATTTGGGAGAACAATGAGGAAGCGAACAGGGCCAAATATCCCAAACCAATTCAAATTAAAATGTCCAACAACAATTGTGACAAACGCAAATGCAGCCAAATAGCATTCTACTTTGGATCTGCTATCCTCTTGTGAATATGGTTTCATGTATTTTGCTTCACGTTATATTGAAATCATTTTCAGGAGTTTCAAATGCCTCATGACATTGCTGTTACCCAAAATGGTAGCATCTTTGTCGGGGATGCGACCAGCAAGACTGTTTTCAAGTTTACAGCTGAGAGTAAGTACGACTACTTTTACCACTACTCTATTTTTTTTTTCATCATTCCCCATTTTTGGTTATTCTCATTACCTTTGTTTCCTATCCCAGAGGCACATCGTTCAGTCAAGAAGGCTGGCATTGAAGTTCAAGAACTTGAAGGTAATTTTCCAAATGCATATTATGCAACCATGGTTGTAAAAGTATTCGCTCCTTTCCACATCTTGTCACATTACAACCACAAACGTATACATATCATATTGGGATTTTGTGGAAAAGACCAACAGAGATTGGCACCTACATCTGAAATATATAAGCGGTCCAATACAAACTGTCCATACTCCACTCAAGCATTTATATGCCGCAGCGCCTGGATCCAGCATGCACAGCCCATATGATCCTAACAGAGCGCGCTAAAGTGCTAACAAAGAAGAAAGAAAAGTTTTTCCATGGTGGCATAGAACCAGTGAAGTTTGATATGACCAATCAATATTACGCATTAGAAGCACCACCACGTTTTGAGCATTTTTGCATGATTACAATGGTGAAGAAACAAACCTCTTGCTCCTCCACCAACTGATGTTGTCCGAAGAATTTGCAAAACATGGCAAACTCCCACGAGGCATCAGAGAGGCGCTGATGAGTAATGTTGGGTTTAAATGCTTAATTGAGCACCTCAGCCCTCACTGCATTATGCCTGTCCACCGCTTCATTGTTGATAAAACTATACTTCAGATGCATAATCAAATTTTAAAAAATGGTTGCCACACGTGGAGAATGCAAATCCTGCACCCATTATATACTGATGGGAAAAAATGTAATTGAACTTTTAAATTAATTTTCACTTTTAAAGTATAATTTGCATCCATTGGATTTATTTGGGTTATTTTTCAAGGTAGGCAGCCCGGTGGTCCAGTGGTTATAGCGCGTCGACCTCACAGTGAGGTACCGGGGTCAATTCCAACTCCAGCATCCCTGTGTGGAGTTTGCATGTCCTCCCCGGGCCTGTGTGGGTTTTCTCCGGGTACTCCGGTTTCCTCCCACATTCCAAAAATATGCATGGCAGGCTGATTGAACACTCTAAATTGTCCCTAGGTGTGAGTATGAGCATGAATGGTTGTTTGTGTGCCCTGCGATTGTCTGGCAACCGGTTCAGGGTGTCCCCCGCCTACTGCCCGAAGACAGCTGGGATAGGCTCCAGTACCCCCTGCGACCCCTGTGAGGATAACCGGATCGGAAAAAAACATTTCAAGGTCTTTTCATGTAGTTTTCCCCGCCTAGTCAGGGCTCCAGACTAATTTATTTTACGAGGTACAGAATAGGCCCTAACTAAAATTTTAGGGACGCAGGTCAAACTTTTAGGGGCGGACATGAATCACAAATTGATTTACAAAGTAAATATTCACATTTGCATTTGTTCTCACCATGCCATATAACTCGTAAATAGGCGGTGTGAAGCAGAGGTTTCAGCAACAAAAATAATGAAGTTGGTCAAAAAATAAATCACCAAATTTATTGTTCACAAGTGCAAAGTTTTTAATATGGATTCAAAATATTTACACTTAGGGCTGACTTATTCCATTTGTGTGCAGCATAACAGCTAAATCCAGCTTCACCATGTTTACTTTGAACTCTGGGATCCACTAATTAACCCAAGTCGGCAGATGTCAGAGCCCTTCGATCATTTTCTTTTGTAGATTTATTTTTGCTTTAATGTTGCAGATCACCAAACCAATTTCAATGTCTTGCAAAGAATACCCAAGTAAATATAAAATGAAGTTTCTAGATGCTTTTTTTTTTAAGACGGGAAAAAGATTTCCAAACCCATGTGGTCATATGAGAAAATAATTGCCCCCCTTGACTTAATAACTGTTTATGCCACCCTTGGCAGTCATAACTGAAATTGAGTGTTTGTGATAACTGGTAACTGTGATAACATGTCGTATGCATCCCTGCCGAGCCATTTTGGCCCTCTATTTGCAGAATTGTTTTCCACTCAGTCTGATTGGACAGTTTTCAAGCATGAAGTGCCCGTTAAATATCATACCACATCATAACATTCGGATTAAGTCTGGACTTTGACTCGGCCACTCCAACACTCCCCCTGCCCCCCACCTCCTTTTTTTTTAAACCATTCAGAGTTGGACTTGTTGGTATGTTTCGGGTCATTGTCCTGTTGCATAACCTAAGCTTGTGCGTAAGGGCACAAACTGATGGCCAGATGTTTACATGCAGGATGTTATGGTAGACAGCAGAATTAATTGATCCATAATTAACAGTCATCCAAGTCCTGAAGTAGCCAGCAGCCCCAGACTATCACACTGTCCTCACCATGTTTGATTGCTGATATATATAAATATATATTTTTTAAATGCCATGTTATGTTTATACTAAATGTCACAGGCCGCACACCTTACAAAAAGGTTCACTTTTGTTTCAGACAAAAGAAACATGAGATCCATTCAAAGATGACCAACATAGTCGGCCATACTTGATTTCAAACACAAGACAGACTGCAACAATGTATGAAATGTTAATAACTTAAAATATCGAGACAATATGGGCTTTCTAACCATCTATAAAAGCTAACATACAGTATATAGCACAAAGAAAACCACAACACCTAAAAGCATTTAAAAACAGAACAGTTAACGACATTCGGAAGTAAAGATGAGGAAAAACTAAAGTAGCTCACCAATATTACTAAAACATGATACAAGGACAACATGGAAACACATTTTATGACTACTGATAGTCAAGTCTGAGTCTGTCAGCACCCCAAGATTTCTGACTTGGTCTTTGGTTTCTAATGACAGTGACTCCAGGTGTTTTCTAACAGCAGTCTTCTTTTCTTAATTGTCAATAACACAACACCTCTGTTATGTTTTGGTTCAGTTGAAGGAAATTTTTGTTCATCCACTTGTTAATTTACTTGAGACAGTGACACAGCACTTGAATGAAATGGCTGTCATTTGGCGACATTGATAAATATAGCTGTGTGTCATCTGCATAACCATGATTACCAACATTAACCTTCTAATCGAAAGCATTTGACCCAAAGTTTACAAATACAGACTGAACAAAAGGGGTCCAACGACTGCCCCTCGAGGGACTCCGCATGTCATGGCCATTCGATCAGATTCATTCTTCCAGTGGTCAGAAAGTACTGTATTTTCTGCGCTAAAAGGTGCAACTTCAATGAATGGCCTATTTTAAAAATGTTCTTATATAGGGCGCACCGCATTATAAGGCGCATGGAATAGAAGCTATAATAGTGGCTGGGGTTGCGCTATGCATCCACTAGATGGAGCTACACTAAAGGAATACAATACAATACAGCTGTATTTATATGGAGCTTTCACAACCGCTGCTAGAACAAAACGCTTTACAGAACATTTAAAATACTACATTCAAGAAATCAGAATATTGAGCCATATATAAGGCGCATCGGATTATAAGGCTGACTATCATCTTTTGAGAAAATTGAATGCTTTTAGGTGCACCTTGTAGTGCAGAGAATACGGTAATTACTGTTAACTCATGATTTAACAAGGGGGAGAGTCACAGGACTATTTTCCACATGGGGCCAGATATGTTTGAAATGTTTTCAATCGAACGGTTTTGAAAAATTTGCTGAAGATATCCTTGTGAGATTTTGAAATTAGTTTGATGATCCCAAAATGTTAAATGTGATTGTACGCACAAAAAAAAACCAATGAATTTAATGGGGCAAATCTTTTTAATGGCACTGTATAGATAATGCAAATAAAATAGGTGTAAATCAAAGTAATATTACTGCCATTCATTGGATGACACCACAGACATGTCGCTTAAAACATTAATAGCATTTTTTTGGTTTATGAACGAGACTTCTTTCTTATTTTCCTTTCTGTGTAGAAATTGAGGCATTTATCCAAACCAAGGAGACGCCAGAGCAGAACGTGTCAAAGACTGCAGCAGTTGAACAGAAGCCATATTTGGCTCAACACCTGAAGCCACAAGACGAGGAGAAGAAAAAGACTGTTCCCCATCCAAACAAAGAGCAAGGTCTCCTACCGGTGGTCATCACTCTGCTCTTGCTCATCCCTCTTCTGCTTGTCATCTCCGTAGGAGTCTTCATCTGCTGGAGAAAAAACAGTTAAGTATGACAGGAAAGACTATTTGGGTTGCTTGCCAGTGTTTTATCTCAGTTAAAGGAGAGTTTCGTCATACGTATAGTCTGACTTTTTCGTTCAAGAAAAGTAAACCAAGTGGCCATAAAGATAGCAAAAGTAAAGATTGGATTTTCACTTGCATAGGTGCCACTTCCTCCAAAAAAAAAAAAAAAAAGAATTACACCTATCAATTAGTGTGCAAGATCCATGCATGTGGTTCATGCAGTGGACACAACTTGCTTGGCAAGCTTGTTTCTTTCACTCACTCCAACTTTTATCTGTCTGCAGACCGGTATGAGGTGAAAACTGGGCCCAGTGCTGTTGGAGGGATTTTAGGAAAAATCAGTGGTAAGTAATTTCTCTTCAGTGGTATCAATAGAGGGCGCTAGGACACCACGCCCAGTTGAGTCACATTGAAATGATTTGAAAATCGAAGCATTGTAAAGAAGTAGCCAGCGTGACGAGGATAAATCCAGCCATATATTTCATGAATGATAAACCAAAGACAAAATCGAAGACTTCTGATTTCATCAATGAGACGCCACCGAGTTGAATTGCCTGCCGGCGCTGATCCTTCTTTGATCTAGAAAGATGCTATGTCATGAACAGGTCTAATCTGACCTGACCTACACATTGGCATGTGTGCTGATACTGGCTGGAGATCAGTGAACTGTTATTTTTATGCGTGTACTTATTCATCAGTCTATATGATAGGTTGAAAGGGTGGCACGGTCGACGATTGGTTAGCCCAGTGGTGGGCAAACTACGGCCCGCGGGCCAGATCCGGCCCGTTGGTCTTTTTAATCCGGCCCGCCGAAGGTTGGTACACAATTAAGGTTCAATGTAAATGATTGCATTCATTTCATTTGGACTTGTAATGACAGGCATTTCAACGCCAGGTGGTGCAGTTACTTGAAGTTGCAGAGCACAGGGAGGGAGGGGGAGATGACACGGAAGCCTGCAGTAGCACCAACTCAAGCAACTCCCGCTCGATACGACGGAATAAGTGTGTCCGGCTGTCCGCGCCGCTATTTCTATCATTGGATCCAAAACAGCGACATGCAAGAGACTCTTTATTGCAGTGAGTTTTAGTGGGATTACGAATATTTTTACATCCTGTAGATCATAGCATCCAAACGAAGAGGAACAGTAATCGCCGCGGAAGAGAAAGTGAAGTGTATCCGATTAAACGAAGCGGGTTACAAAGTACGAAACATTCAGGAGATGCTTGGAGTCGGAAAGTCTCAAATCTACAAGACTTTGAAAAATGAGGAAGCGATTCTTGCTCAGTCCGATTCTGGCTGTTTCCATGCTCAGAGTGAATTGCTTGCGGCTCGACGGACAGTCGAGTAAATAAACGTTTCCTGGAATGGCTTGACTGTTATCATGCTAAAAACTTTCCGCAAACTGGACCGCTAATAAGAGAGAAAGCGAGTTCCATAACGCTAACTATGGGCATCGAAGACTTCGAAGCGTCCCGTGGCTGGCTTCAAAAGTTCGTTGCACGACATCAGCTGAGCAACGCTGTCTTGTGTGGTGATCGAGGGAGGTCAAGTTCGAGAGAAAGCCACCCGGTCTTTTACTCGTCTCATTTTGTAGCAAATAGTCCTAACTTTGTTGTATTTTGTCATGTACCTGTACTGTCATGCGCAGTTTTTGGGCAATATATTGTTGCACTTTGTTGCTTGTGTTGTCACACATGTATGTTGTTAATATACTTGGACGTTCATACAGGACATATACCACAGTTGTTTCACTGTTGTCATTAAAAAAAAAAAAAAAAGTATGGTAATACTTTAATGCTTCTGTTCTGTTGATGGACTGTCAACATATACAGTTTTTTATATGAACCGTATCTTGTGCTGACCCGGCCCACCTGTCAAATTTAGAAATCAATGTGGCCCCCAAGCCAAAAAGTTTGCCCACCCCTGGGTTAGCCCGTCCGCCTCACAGTGCAGAGGTGCAGGGTTCAATTCTAGCTCTGGCCTTCCTGTGTGGAGTTTTTATGTTCTCTTTGTGGCTTTTCTCCGGGTACTCCGGTTTCCTCCCACATTTCAAAAACATGCCTGGCAGGTTAATGGAACACTCCCAATTGTGCCTAGGTGTGATTATGGGCGCAAATGGTTGTTTGTTTATGTGTGCCCTGCGATTGGCTGGCAACCAATTCAGGGTGTACTCCGCCTGCTGCTTGAAGAAAGGTGGGACTAGCTAAAAAACTATGAATATATCTGAGTATTATTGTAAAACACAATACTTAATGTTTTACCAATACACCGGCTGCTTATTCGCTGCATTTTTTCCACAATTTCCCCACTTTCACAATTTTTTATAGTAATTTTGTAAATTGTTTTTGTGGTTAATGGTGTCTGCTATATTTGTATTAGTATTAACAGATTGATTAAGGAGTTGAATACCGTAAGCTGTTAATTATTAATTCATTAGTTTGTGTTATTAACTTACTGTTTTCACTGTTCTAGTTGTTTGACAGATTTTGTATGCAGCAATGGTTGTTTTAAAGTGGTTAAAAAAAAAGTGGAGTTATGTAATGGACGAAAGAATTCGAAACATGTCTGTTTGACGTGATTTATCAAATTCACAAAGCCATACTTTTTCATTCGGGCCAGCAGCTGTAGCAACATCTGCTGAATCTGGGCCACCTGTCTCACGGAGCCCCACTTCAAGTGGACGGTAACAGTGAAATGTGAAAGCAAGTTATTGCATCCACACCTTTTAAAGACAATCAAAAATGAAAGTGTTGTTTTTCAGTAGATGTACCACCCCTGTGCTCAGCTTCAGAGAAATCAGTTGTGTAGTGTTTGTATATTCCTGCCTCCTAACAGACAGCCGGATGAAGCAAGCAACATAATTTGTGATGTTTCCCCTCTGGCCAGGTAAAGCAGTCGGCAGCCTGAACCTCGGAAACTTCTTTGCCTCCCATAAGGGTTACAGTCGTCAGGGCTTTGACCAACTGAGTACTGAAGGCAGCGACCAGGAACGGAACGACGAGGGGAGCAGCGAGTCTGAGAACGAAGAGTACTCCGCTCGTCCCACACCACCTCCATCCTCCTCTTAGGAAGATTTGGAGCGCACCACAACCTTTTGCTTACATGGCCAGGGTATATTTCATGTCATTCATCATCATGTAACTGTTGTGTTAGATGCCTTATTGTTTATATATTTAAGTAGGGACTGTACATAAGTTTATTTGTTTTGTTGCTATAATTAAATCAAATTATTTAATCTTAATTTAACAAGCCCATGTTCCGAAAACAGCCTTGGATTTTCAACTTCTTTCCTAAAGTTGCATTTAATTTGAAGTTTTGTGCTCTTGTTGATTTAAGGTGAGACATTTTTGATGTTTACCAAAAGTTTTTCACATTGAATCATTTGACACAGTTAATATTTTATGGCGGCATTACAACCAGCATGAGTATTTAAAAATACAGGGCCGTAAATAAGATCACAGTTGGGTAAAAATAAAATGACATACAGTGGCGATTATCTCATCACTCTCTTACAGTACTTCCAAATGCCTTTAATGGTATTTCCAACCAAACTGTCGTTTTTTTTTTTTTTTTTTTTTTTTGTTTTTAATGTCCAAAGTGTGGTTCAGATGCCACAACAATAAAATTACAAGCATTTGTGCTGGTTGTTGTGCTTTTTCCATAAAGATGAAGACTGACAACAGAAAACTCCCATTTATAGCTGTTCATAATGGTTAACTTTTTTTTTTTTTTTAATTCATTCATTGCTCATTCTACTGAGTTTGTATTTAACATTCTACAGTTTTTGTGACTTTACACCAGAAAGCTTTTCCTGAGATTTGGACAAGTAAATGTTGGGATTCAAAGGAATCCATTTATATTGTAATTTAATGTCAGATTATATTAACAACAAACCTTTGTTTGTTGTTAATATAATCTGTTTGTCTGTTTGTTTGGATTCCTTCTACGCATAAATATCTTACATGTATTAAAAATTCCATGCCATTATATTTCATTTGTCGTCGATGGTTTGACTCGGCCACATTTGGATTAAAATTTTGTGCCTTTTCATCTTTTGCCTTTTGTCATCGTCTGCCATTATAAAGTGTACCATAGGAGGTAAACTGCTGCTGCTATTATAGCTTGTACTCTTGTACTGATTCTTCTTCCTTCACCGTCAGTCAAAAAAATGATATATTTACACATTCATGTTTTGTTTTGTGGGAATGTAAATGGTCAATCAGACTCTGGTAAACAGCCAAGTCCATAGCACTGTGTCCATGCTTATCTTACGCTCATTTCAATTATTTACTAATTAGACCATTGGTCCATTCACTATACCACTTATCCTCACTATTAATGGCCGTGAATGAGCTGGAGCCTATTCCAGTTGACTTGGAGCGAGGTACACCCTGAACTGTGTGGGTTTTCTCCGGGTACTCCGGTTTCCTCCCACATTCCTAAAAAATATTCATGGTAGGTTAATGGAACACTCTAAATTGTCCCTAGGTATGATTGTGAGCGCAAATGGTTGTTCGAGTGCCCTGCGATTGATTGGCTGGCAACCAGTTCAGGGTGTGCCCTACCTCCTGCCCAAATCGGCTCCAGCACTTTCGCGACCCTCATGAGGATAAGTAGCTCAGATAGTGTATGCGTAGACTTGTATGTTTGGAAATATGTATGAAATGAAACGGGTAACTGGTTGAAGAATGAATGGAAACTAAAATATATGCCCACGAAAGTTGGGCATTTCATTTGAATGTTGAATATATTTCAATGCATTGGCATGACATTCAAGGTGAGACTGTGCATTAGGTGTGACACACACACACACACACACACACACACACACACACGCGCGCGCGCGCGCGCACCACTAAAGGGTGGTTGTTTTCCTTGTGTTCCACTTGCTTGATCTTTCATTTCCTTTCACCAAATACGTGTCTGTTTATCTGCTTGATTTGTCCCTCGAATGATTAATGTACTAAAAGCATGCCATAGAAATAGGATGTTGCAGTCACACGTGAATTGATATTTATTGTGACAATTTTGCTGCAAAGGTACTATTTTAGTAACAATGTTATTTGTGTAATAAAGTGTTTGCAACGCATTCTGGTATCCTTTGGATGTCCAGTTTTTTTTTTAATGCACAACAGTCTTTTACAGTCATTGTTTTACTGTTTTGTGCTTTCTACTTTCTTCGTTATTAATTTATTGTTGTATATATGATATTTACTCCATGTACATACAGCACTTTGTATACAGCGATGGCTGTTTTAAAGTGCTTTTATAAATACAGTTGAGTTTAGAATTGTTACTAAATCTAGCCATCCATCCATGAGCAAAACAAACAAAAACATTGGCTGCTTTAATATACCCCACCTGTGGAGACTGTCATGAGTCCGTGATGGTCGTGGACCCAAAAAGCAGGGCGGCAGGAGAAGCAGGGTGTATGTACTGAACCCATTTTATTAAAACCCCTAGACGAGCATGCTGAACAAGCTAAATCAGTAACAGAATCCTGTGGAAAACCCCCAAAACTCAAAGCAACAAACAAATAAAAACCCATGACAGTCAGGCAACGATCCGCCCCCGAGTGGTCGGCGTGGCAGTCCTTTTGAAAGAAAAGAACTAATTACCAACAGGTGTGACGCAGTAGGAGAAGCCCTCTACTGCCATCTGTTGGTCACAAACAAAACAATAATGAGACCAGAGACAAGTTGAAATGCAACTTCAACATGCCCACCTTCGGAAGAGAAATACGAACAAATGAGACGACTTGATATTTTGAACTGAAGGTATACTTAACAATTTACATGATGTAAAGGCTCGGGTAAAGTCAGTCAGTTGCAACTATGTGGCAAAACCGTATGGCATATACACTCGGCGTTCTTTAGGGAGAGTCACCAATATGGTATTTGTAGGCACTCAGGAGCCCCCAGTTTGAGGCACATTGTTATTTCCAAGGAACGTTGTAGAAGTAATCCATTGAAAGTGTAAACATTTTAGAATTTAGAGCTTCAATGTGTGATCACAATGCCTCCTTTCCTGCCTGCAACTCGAGCAGTTTTCTTTGTTTCTCCAATGTGGCAAATGATTGTTTGCAAAAAAGGACAAAAGTTAGCTATGGAAGAACTGCAAGATGTATCAACTACTTAACGGGCCTTAAGGAGTTCATCAGCGGCTGCCACTGAACTAGTTCCTTGACATGGACATTTGTGCTTGTCAATCACAAGAATTATGTGAATGCTGCTTTTTGTGGGTCGCTGAGCAAGAAAGTAAGGCAGGGTGATGCTTTAGGTGATGTCATCAAGATGCATTGTTATAGAACAGTACATTTTAAGAAACATTACTACAAGCATGTAAATTGTGCATATATTTGTGGATGTGAAAATTGCCCAAAAAAACCCCACGTGTGTTTGTGTAAATAATTTTGAGACAAATCTCGAAAAGGAGGAACGGGAAAAAGTGAAAATGAAAGTACAGCAAGCTTTGGCAGTGAGTATAACAACTGACATGTGGACCTCGATGAACATGGAGGCTTACTTGGCACTTACCTGTCACTACATTAATGCGAATATGTAGTTGTGTTGGCAGTACAATACTTTCCACAGAAACACACTGCTGACAATTTGGTCCAGGTCAAAAGTGACATGATGGAGGACTGGGCCATAACCAACAAGTAAAGTGTCTTGGGAGTGACGCAGCACCAAACATGATCGCATCAACTAGACACCTCCAAATTCACCACTCAAATTGCATTGCACACAGTCTTAATTTATTAGTTAGAAAATCATGTGATCAGGTCCCTGCGCTTACAGACATCAGAAACAAAGCTTGGCACATTGTCACATATTTCCATTCAAGCACTACAGCCAAGGAGAAGCTCGCTCAGGTGCAGCAACAGATGTGACGGCCAAGTCTTGAAACGCATCAACGAGGTGCCAACACGCTGGAACAGTACTTATGAAATGCTGTCGAGGCTGCATGATGAGAGGGAACCAGTGTGGGTATCTTTCAACTAGACACCTCCAAATTCACCACTCAAATTGCATTGCACACAGTCTTAATTTATTAGTTAGAAAATCATGTGATCAGGTCCCTGCGCTTACAGACATCAGAAACAAAGCTTGGCACATTGTCACATATTTCCATTCAAGCACTACAGCCAAGGAGAAGCTCGCTCAGGTGCAGCAACAGATGTGACGGCCAAGTCTTGAAACGCATCAACGAGGTGCCAACACGCTGGAACAGTACTTATGAAATGCTGTCGAGGCTGCATGATGAGAGGGAACCAGTGTGGGTATCTTTGGCCTCCTTAAAGATAGATTTGACTCCACTGACAGCTGATGAGTTCACCATCATAAGAGAAGTACTATTGGTGCTTTCTCCATTCCATCAAGCTACAGGGGAGTTGTTTGAAGAGCGGCGAGTGTCTGGTTCAAAGGTCATCCCGATGATGAAAATGCTTTAACATGCACTTGAGCGTCATGCTTCAACCTTGCACACAAGGCTGCCATACAACTCCACGAACACCTGAAGCGTCGAGACACTGCTTCCAGTCTGGAGTCTATTAGTGTGTTAACCTTAGCAACACTTCTAGACCCCAGATTCAAATCACTTTGATTCCGCAGTTCCCTCAGGTGCACGGAGGCCATATCCAGACTACGGTCTGACTGCGTGCGTGTCATCAGGCACACAATCGAGGCCCAGCCCGAACCATCATCGCAGCCCTCTGCAACTACATCAGGCATGTTACTCATCATTATTGGTTTGTTTTTGGAAATTGTTCTAAATGCCAATTTTGTTGGGTTTTGTTTTTTAGATGACCTGTGGCAGCATTTGGAGGATTGGGGGGGGAGAGACTGGGAAGACGGCTTTGTTGTGCAAGAAACACAACAGACTCAAATTCAAAACACTGGAGCAACTTATTTTTCTGAAAGATTTTTGAAGACAAAGCCCACAAGCATCCTCATTCACATAATTTCCACATTATTCAAACATAATGAATCAAACAATATGAATGCATAGATGTCAATGATATTGGATACACTTCGTCATCAAATCAGTCAGTTCAGTCTGTCAAGTGGGTTGCCTGCAGGGATTCTGAAGGTCCAGCAGGTGTCAGTGGTCAGCAACATAGTATCAACACAGTGTGTCATTGTGTCGACACGCTTCATGACGCCTCATGGACCCATCACTAACTGAAACTTAAAGTTCACGGGAGAACACAAAGAATCCACAGGGAGAGAAAATATCCACGATGGAAGCAAAAACTTCACAAGATGTCTACCAGGGCTTGCTGCAGGTGGTTACGGCTTGAATTTGCGCCAAGGACTGATTCGGTAGCCAACTTATCCCAGCCCAAATGAGCTGATGAGCTACAGGTGGGTGATTAGTGGGCGAGCTTCAGGTGTGAGGTGCAAAGTGCCCTGGCTGAGAAGGTTATCCGGCCCCGACCTAACATTGGATACGTTACAAAATGTTTTACCTAAAAGTACATGAATGGACCCCC